CAGTACCTACATTTGTTTTGTCCTTCTCTAAAGTTGCTTTCCCCTTTGAGAAAAACTATATTGATATCAGAATCTCTACTTAGTTTTATGACACTTAGTATGTTATGAGGTATTTCAGGGATTAACAATACCCCCTCTATTTTTCCTAGACCAGGCAATGTTATGTTTCCTCTGCCTAATACTTGAACTTTTTCTTGATTAGCCACCTTTATTACAAACTTATCTTCTGTAAATGAAGATAGAATATTTTTGTTATTAGTGGTGTGATTGGTTGCCCCAGAATCGATAAGCCAATTATCGTTCTCATTTTGTGTTGTGTTTTAGTGCTGTCTTGTTTATTTAGTCCATTCAGTGAACCAGATTTTCTCTCTTTTGAATTTTCTCTACCCCCTCTACTCTCTCTGTAATTTGGGTGCTTCTATATTTATATCTATCTGTGGAAGACTGTCTATAATTGTATCTGCTTCTATATTCTGGCCTATGTCTCTCCTTTGATATTTTGGACAGTCTCTTCTATTGTGTTCCCTGGACCCACAATTGTGGCATTTAAAAGTTTCATTGTATTTTTCTTGGAAAGCTACCTTCCTAAAAGATTTGTGTTCTGTGTGATTGCTAGAACGATTTTTTCTTGAATTGTCTTCAGCTATCAATTTGTTAGATAGACTCTCTATGGATAAATATCCTAGATTGATGGTGTCTAAGTGTGACATAAAACTATCCCATATGAATCAAGTGAATTGATAATAACACTTTTCATTGTTTGATCTGAAATCACTTCCCCCCTCAGATGCAGCTCAGCTCTTATTTTGTTTAGAGATATCAAATGCTCACTTATGGAAACCCCTGTTTTTACTCTAGAAGAAAAGAAATCCTTAGACATTCTCGTAGTGGTAGCTACACTGTCGCTGTGGAATTAAACATGCATTGAATTATTTCTGATACAGTTAGGTTTGGTTTGATACTATGATACATTGCAGGAGATACGCTAGATATTATTAAGAAGAAATGCTCTGTGATGTAAACAATCTATTTTTAAAGTCCAAGGTCTTCTTGGAGGACTAGTGATAAAGAATAGTAAATTTTCTTTCATAAAGACAACCTGGAGCTGTTGATACCACTCTTGCAAATTAATGCCATCAACTCTAAGTTTTGGGAAGTCACTGGGTAAGTTTCCCACATTATTTTGTCCATTACTTACAACCTGAGGTAGTCCGTGATCTCGCAAGTGCAGGAAATTGCAAAACGGCATAGGGATGCTCGCAACGAGTTCGCGCGGTTCTCTGGCCAGTTCAAGTCTTTCCGGACCGTCTACGTGGTTTCGCACATGCGCGTTGCTCATTTTTTCTTTGGCATCGTCGTGGAAGGTTCTCTCCATTTCAGCTCGTTCGCTCTGCTCCTCTTCAGACGAGTCGGTCTCTGGCTCGGTTTTAGGAGTTTCTGATGGCGGCGGCTGTTCTTCTCTTTCTCCTGTGTGCGTTGATATTTGATCCGGTCTGCGGCGTGGGGCGGAATCGGCATGGCTCTCTGGGCTCGGGCGCGTCGCTCTCTCGAAGTCAGGATGGGAGCGTGTAGGTCTTGAGGTATCGGCTTGTTCTTTTGCTTCTTCGTTGGCGCTTTGGAGATTTTTAATTTTGGCCCAAATGCAGCAAAAAGCGTCTTCATTGCTGATTTTATTTGGGATTTGGTAAAATCGTCTTCGCTATCTGATTCGGGTTCTTCTGGAGATTTCGAATCTTCCTTTTCACTTTCGTTGTCTGATAACGTTTTTCGCGCCAGAAATTTTGAACTGGGCATTTTGATTGGCTCTGCTTCGCTCCCTTTGGAGGCTTGTTGAAACCAAGATGGCTGCCATTCAAAATTTCGCGCGCATCACATCTTTTCTTTTTCATAACGACTTTCTCTGTAGTCATATCACTCACAGTTTTTTGGTCTTTTTTTTTCTCTTTGACGATGTTTTTTCTCTCTCGCTGCTCCGCTGTTTTTCAGCATTTCTTGGAGATTCGCGATGAGACTTTCATCATTCTTCTGGCTTTTTAATATCTTTAATATTTCTGACCTGAGTTCGTTATTTTCTATTTCGATTTCCTCCTGGTCATTATTTCCATTTATTAGTTCTTCTTCTTCTGTGGTGTACTCTTCGGATTCTCTCGAAATCGCGTTTGTGGATTCGTTGATTATTTCTTGTTCAGTTTCTATTTCTTTGCTGTAGCCCTGGTGTTGGCCTATCTTTCTTAGACATTTTTAATTATTTATTGAGTCAATTAACCATCCTCTGCTACCAGTTTGTTGCAATATTTTTAGGATCAGACTCAATAATGATAATAAGATTAGAGGTTTAAATATATCTCTCTTTAATCTTAACAGGCATTCTATATTCACTGAATATTTACAGATAGAAGCAAGGGAAATGGTGAGGGTGGCTCCTTATATATACAAAGGGCGGAGTCAAGGATGGGAGTGGTGAATTATGAATACATTAGGAAACAAAGAATAAGTTAACCCCTGATATCCCATATATACATTATTTACAGATTAGGGAATAAGGCATTTACATCTGACAGCCAAGGTCAGCTTGTCTGATTTAGAAATGCTTAAAAGAGTTATTGTTACCTATTATTATTGATGTATTCAACCTGAGATGAACCATATTTTAAAAATGCATTAACAAAACATAGATATAATGGTTTTCCCTCCATTTCATTGTATCCAATATAAGTTCAATAACTTCACTCCAACCTATCAGAAATCTTTTGCTAGTCCTAAAAATAATCCTTGCTCTTTTCTGATTCTCACAAGTAAAAGAAAGTGTTCAGGTATCAGAAAGGTGGAGTCTACAAGGTGGCGACATACCTTTCACTGCTGTTTAGGACATCTAACTTATCTTCCATTTATGCTGAGGCAGAAGAAATATATCCTGATTCTTTTTTAAAAAAATATGTGTGTATTAAAGGTAATCACTCCAGGTTCCACATATGAAGAGATCTCATCTAAAATATAATTAACTTTGAGAAAGCCAGATGCATATTTTTCTTCATTCAAAACAACACCACTATTCAGGTAAAATATAAGGGCAAGATTTATTTCAGCAATTCAACTTTCTCTGCAGAAACATTACTTCAATGGAGGAAAGACAGTGGAGAAAGAAAACATATATTAATGTAGGAAGGAGAGGATGTGAATATACATGTTCTGTCTGTAGGTCCTCAAAGACCCTGCTTGCATGCTACCTCTCAGCCTCTTTTGTAAAGAGGTAAGGAAATGTACTAAGGAATAAGAAAGCATCAGAGGAAACAAACCCAGTATTAGGGCCACACGAGAACACTTGGGGGACAATCTGCTTCTGTAACACTGCAAATATTTGTCTGAATGTTCAGCTTTTTTTCCAAAAATCTAGCCTAATCTATGCCAGCCTGGTCTACTCCAGCATTCTGCATCATCTTTAAATAGGATACCAAGCAGTAGAGTTTTTAGTTGTACGCTATACAAACTTCTCACTAGAATTCCATATTCTACAATTTTATTTTTTGCTTTAATTTATATGCTGCCGTTCTCCAGAGACTCAGGGCAGCTTACAATGCTTTAAGCAATAGCCTTCATACTTTTGTATATTTATACAAAGTCAGCATTGCCCCCACAATCTGGGTCCTCATTTTACCTACCTTTGAAAGGATGGAAGGCTGAGTGAACCTTGAGTCTGGTGGGATTTGAACTTGCAGTAATTGCAAGCAGCAGATGTTAATAACAGTGCATTAGTCCACTGTGCTACAATTGCTCTGCTTTGTTCCAGGGATTTTACAGGAAGCCCAGCTATCATAGCCATTTCCCATCCATACGTCTCCTGTTTACCTGTCACTCTCTGTTTAAGAACACTGACAAATGAAAGATTGAATAGTTTCACTACAGCTTTTCATTGCTACCACTAGAACCTTGGGAACTTTTAAGATATGGAGACTTCAACTCCCAGAGTTCCCACATTGACTAGGGAACACTTCATAACATTTCCAAGATTGAGAATCAATCAAAGATCAGCAGTGCCACCACCGTGACCTCTAGAGCAGAAAAAGCACTTTTGGAACTTCTAAAATGAATTTAATTGATGATAAAATTTCCACGTGACATCTCGTGAAAGTACACCCAAATAAATGCATTGCAATGCCTGAAAAAGTGACTGATTCTTTCCCTAAACAGTAAAACAAAATACCTCTAAATAGATTATGATAAACACATTTACATATTTATGACACACCTGTACAAAGTATTTGGGATGATCTAGTTTCAGGTTTTGATCCAGTTAGCAGAAAGTGCTCCTTTCTCCCAACCCCAACACATCAACCTGTAGTCATAAAACTTCTGTTTTATAGAACTAAATCTGCATCATATACAATGCAAACAAAAGTAAAAGTCAGATTATAATCCCACACAGGTTCAGAGAGGCAAGGCTCTGATCCCCTTAGTGTTATATGTGGTAAGATTTTGGCAGGCAAAACTTTTTCTGCAAGTTTGTTTTCAGGCTGAAATGTCTTCCCTATGGCTAGTATAAATGTCAGGTACTTACACTTTTTTGCATCCAGTCATTGCTGATTAGAAATAAATAGTTCATAGTAAAAATGTGAAAGCTTAATATGAGCCCAATTAAACAAGTTGAGACTTACTCATCTTCTGAAAAGGGCTTCCCAGTTAGGATGTTCTTTGTTCCTGGAGCATAATTCCAATCAATTTCATTAATTCCAATGTAGTATTCTCTGGTTACTGCAGAGACTTGGAACAAGTAATAAGCCAACAAGTGGCTTATCACAGACAGCTTCATGTTCGAGGTTGTTTTAGTCCAATGGACTCACCCAGGAACACCTCCTTTAAATATCTTCAGTATTTTCCCCTTTGTAAGCTTTTGTTTAGTTTCAACAGCCTGGAAGGTTGCACAATTCTTGTTTAAACAAACCCTGTCAGATTTGGTGGCAACAACTCTTAGACAGCTCATAGATGATTGAAACAACAGTAAAAAAATACCCACATTTTTTATTACAGTTGACGTTCAAATGTAAATCATGTTTTATATCTTAATACATGAATTTGAAAATTGTTCTTCATCAAAATATTTTTTAAAAAAATTTAAAGGTCCATGCTATGGTGAAATAAAGGGAGTTTCCCAACACAACATCAATTTTCTCCTGTTCGTTCTGTTTGATATAGCTGAAATTTCTTGCATTTCACAACCTGGGGAAAGTTATATTTCAGCTTTAAACTGCAGGACAATGTCCAAAATCCCAAGCAGTTAATAATATATCAGTGCAATATTATCAAATTTCAGACAAGACTGGTATTACTTGTCTATATTATTTAAAACATTTTTTCCTGAACATTTGGTCGTTTGGCGATCCATATAGTAACTGATAATTGGGACAAATCTTGCAACCTTATATTAAAAGCTCCACAATTCAATCTGAAGATTTATTTTGTTTGTTCTACTAATTCCAGTTATATATACCTGTTCAGTTTCTTCTCAAAAACTGACATTTACAAGGCTGATGATTTATAGGAACCAAAAATTAACTTCAGTACAATCACAATTATTTTACATTTTTGTTAATTAAAATATACCCATCTAATTCATTTAGGTTTTTTATTAGAAGGATTCCTGAACAACTTTATGCAATTTTTATTTTCTGATCCACTTATCACACAGTAGCAATAATTCTTTGGAGCAGGTAAAAAAGCTACTACCAATTTGGAAATGATCTGCTTGGTAAGTTCTGCAGAGCTTTAGTAGTACAAATGTAAAGGGAGCCTTCTCAGTGATTCCCAGAAACATTGCAATTGAATCAGAAATAAAATGGCTGTTGAAAAAAAAGAGAAAGAGAGTATAAGTAGACCTTGACTTATGACTACAACTGGGACCAGAATTTCTGTTGCTAAGCACAGTGCTTATTAAGTGAATCTTACAGTTATTAAACAAATCTGGCTTCCCCACTGACTTTGTCTGGGGAGGTTGCAAATGTCAATCACTTGACCCATCATGTGTGACTATTGTAAATACAGCCAGTTGCTAAACGAATAGTTGTAAGTTGAAGACTTCTTGTATGAGATCAGAAGAATGTGAACAGGAACAAAGAATCTTTGTTAGCATTGAATGTGTTTTTTTTTTTTTATTACTCACTGTGGGGAAGGATCCAAAGTAAATATAACTATCTCACTAAGGCAAATTAGGGACCATTCCAATGTTTTTGCTCAATGGGTGAACTAGTTGAGGCAAGTCTATTGTTATGGCTTTCTACAAGCAAAAGACATTCCCCGAGTCTCATCTCAGATTATGACATTTCTCCCAACAACTGTGCAGGGGAAGTTTTATTCAGTTACTCATTTAATCATGCTAAATCCCATTTCTGATACAAAAAGGTGTATTCCAGATATAAGTTTATCTCTTTACTAAGAATGTTGTTCACAATAATGGGACTACTTATTGAACTAAATATTTATTTAGGTGGCATCGATGGTAAGTGCTTTATATTATGTAAACACAAAAAAAATCTTCATTTTTCAAGAGCCTCACAATTTAGATACATAACAAATGCAAGAAAGGGAAAAGGTATGCAAACAGGCAACAAGAAAAACAGACTATCCAAAAACTGTACACTTTAGCCGAAATATGTGGAGCAACATAAGTAATATGTTGGGAAAACATTGGCAGTTCTTCTTGTGTTACCACAGAAACAGAAGAGCCTGCTTTAAAAATTAATATCAAAATGCATGCTCAGAGATATGATGGAGTCATGGTGGAGTCATTCCCCAAGTTGTTAGATCAGTGCAGGCTGTAAAAAAGAACAGAAAAATACGAAATTTTAATGGATGTTTATCTAGAAAATATTGCAGAGCTTGTGAGATGCTTGCACTGATAGCTGGTGGTTTTTTTTGTTGTTGTTACCTCAGCTACTGATTTGTATTTATTGCAAGATTGTTGTGATACTGTGTTTTCAATCATTGCTCGCCACCCAGATTCATGATGTTGAGATGGGCAAAATCAAATCAAATCAAATCAAATCAAATCAAATCAATAAATGCATTTATATCCAAATTATTTCAGTCAAGACAACTGATTCCATTGGGCACATAAGATCTCCCTGTGAATTCACCTTGGATCACAATACAAAAGTCTCATTTGATCACTGACTGAATCATTGGTTCTAGAAGCATATGAATACTGGGTCAACTTGGAAGAATAAAAATAACATAAGCAGTTATGGTATGTAAAAAGAAAAGTTTGTGGAGATTGATCTCTTACCTGAACAAAGATGGGATAATTTCCACACAGGATTTGCCTTAATTCTGCAATTATTTTCAGAAGGCAGATCAAGATTTCGAGGCCACTAAGAACTATCAGAATAGACAACAAAATGATGTTCCAATCCACTACATAAGCAGGCTCAGTGCACTGGGACCAGGAAGTAGGATCCATGAGGTAACTATCAGAGGAAACAATAACATAAAGAAAATGGGAACAGATTGTTATGAATATGCTTATATAAAGACCTCTCAGGTGGTCTTATCATATAGTTTTCAGCCCAAGGACTCTTTGTCCATTCATCTATCACAGCAATCCCCAACCTTTCTAGCTTTGAGGACCAGTGGGGGTGGGGGTGGGGGGAAGAGGGAATGTTTACACACGAGCCCGGAAACGTTTTTATTAGGCATGAAACCAGAGAACTTAAACAAATCTAATTGGTATCTCGCTCTCCACATCATCATTGCAGCCAGGATCTCGTTCACGCAAGAATGGAAATCCAAAAATATCCCATCAGAGGCTACGTTAATTGCAAAGATCATGGACTGTGCAGAAGCAGACAAGCTTACTGGACTTCTGCGAGATAGACAAGAATCGGGGTTATATAGGAGCTGGGACAGATAGTATGCTTGGCTGCAAAGAAAAAGAAATCTTAAGAAGAATGAAAATATTAACCTTAATGTGAATGTGGGTAAATATTTATAGGAGCATTGCATGACAGTTGAGAATTCATTCTCCTGGATAAACTTTTCTTTCTTTTGATGAGTTGGATTAAGGGAGGTTTGTACTTTCTCTAGGCGAAAATTGATACTTTAAAACTCTATATGTATTATATTACTCTCTGCAATTCTATCCATATTGTTATACTTTTTTTTCTGTATTTTTTAAAATAATTTTCAATAAAAATTTAAAAAAAAATAAAAATAAAATTAGTTTTACAGATAAGCGTGTTTCTTACCTGCCTGCCGTGTTTTTGAAGGCATATTCCCAGCCAGCTGAGGTTTTGCAGTATGGGCCTTGCACTAAGCTCAAAGCAGATATGATCAGACTGTAGCCAGAGAATGCAATCCCTAGTAGGGAAAGCACAACAGAAATGAAACGCTGCATTAAAAGAAGAAGAAGAGGGAGTGAAAAGATTCCATCATTACAGGAACAAACTGTACATCAAACCCTGGTATTTTAGTGGCCCCTGGACCACATTCACCCTTCGGCTGTCCCTTGTGAAGTCAGTTGGAAATCAGAAATCAAATGTAAATAAATGTACACCATGCACACAATACAACTTGCTTTTATTTTGAAAGCAACCATTCCCCCCCACCTCCCATTTATGTATGTACTATATGTGCCTACGCACCTTCACAGTCCTATTGGTTTGGCTCTCCACAATTCCAGTTTCTCATGTGGCCCCTTGGGAAAATTAATTGCCCATTCCTAATCTACATCAGTAGATCTATCTTATCCTTTGATCAAGTGTAGAAAGCAGTATAGTTGGGAAAATAGGTAGTGCTGGATGAAAACTTAGTGCACTGTCCACTTGTAGAATGCATGCTGCATTTCTCCTCAGCTAATCAGAGGACATGGCTGATAGATTTATAGTTGTGTCCTGTGGTTGGGCAAGGCTGGAAGTCATGAGCATCTTGCCTGCAAGCCTCGAAGTAATACTGTACATGTGATTCCAGCAACCTCCCTCATGCTCCCCAATCTCCCTTTACCACTGGCTCTATATTTGTTTAAGCTGTTTGATTTTTATTATTTTTTTTAAAAAAAATGAGACACTGTAAAGATACAAAGCAGGGCACTTTGAAAATAATAACAATAACAACCACAATAATAGTAATAATAATACAATGGGCAGTTGAAGTCAAGTGTTTTGTTTGAAAATAACCCCAATGTACTGTGTTTCCCTGAAAATAAGACAGGGTCTTATTTTCTTTTGACCCCCCAAATAAGGGTTTGGCTTTATTATCGGGGGGGTCTTATTATTTTGGGGGTGCAGGAGGCGGTAAGCATGGGACTGGATGTCCCATTGCTGCCATTGTCTCCCCTCCCCATTCTTCGCGTTGGCCACTGCCCTGACATCTCTCACCACTGCTGCTTCCTCATGAAGCAGGACTCTGCAAGGCTTATGCCGTTGCATGCACAAACTGCAGCACTGACACGAGCTTCATCATACCGGCACAGCTGGTGTCCTGCCGCTCGCGGCTGTGCCAGTATGTCGAACCTCACGGCTCTGCTGCAGTTCCTGCATGCAACAGCACAAGCCTTGCAGAGTCCTGCTCTATGAGGCGGCAGCGGCGGTGCAACATGTCTCACAAAGATTAGTTTCTGGCAAGTGGGGTAGGGGAGAAGTGAGACGCATGGAACGAGACGTGGCTCCCCTTGCCGTCTCTTCTCCCCCCACCCACCGGTCACTCACGAAAAAGGTTTTTTTTACAATGTGTCTCCCTGGACAGAATGGCGAGGAACACGATGGTGCTAGAAAGGTAAGACGCGTGTCCCGCTTCTCGCCCGCCACACTTGCCACCCCTCTCAATAAAGAGATGGTGGGGGAGGGAAGCAGCCAGGCTGCTGTTGCCATTGAGGTGGGATGGGTCATGTTGGGCTGCGAGACGCGCATCTTACTTTTCAAGCACCATCATGTTTCTTGCCTTTCTGTCCAGGGAGACACGTTGTAGAAAAAAAGTTTCTCGTGAGTTCAGCCAAACTCCTTGAACTCGTGAGAAAGTTTTTTCTACGACTTGTTTCCCAGGACAGAAAGGCGAGGAATGGTGCTGGAAAGCTAAGATGCGCGTCTCCTGGCCCAATTCGTCCCACCCCCAATGGCAACAGCAGCCTGGCTGCTTCCCTTCCCCACCGTCTCTTTATTGAGAGGGGTGGCAGGTGGGGCGGGGCAGAAGCAAGATGCTTCTCACCCGCACCACCTGCCACCCCCAAATTGCACCTTAAAGGGGCGGGTGGCTAAGTGAGGGGCAGGAGCCCTGTCATGCCCGGCGGGGGGAGTGGGGCGCATAGTTGGTGGGGGGGCTTATTTTGCCGGGGTTGCTTATATTATCACATGTCCTGAAAAGCCCAATTGGCCTTATTTTCAGGGAAACACGGTATAAATAAGGCAAAAGTAAACAGAATTAGTACAGGATGCCCTTTGCAACTGATTCTATGTGGTAATTTGTGAACTTCATCATGTTATTTTGCAAATGCTGAATGTTTCCTTCAGCTCTCAAAGGTTGGACTTACCAAACTTAGCAAACTATGAGAATTTCAGGAACTATTAGATCTGTTGCCTGTAAAGCCAGTAGACTAGTTTGGGATGATATGACTTGAAAGGAAATAATATAATCATAGTTTGCTGCTATAACCCTTATCAAAGAGTAGGGTGAAAGAATATTGGAAATTTGCTTTTTCAAATGCTTTTTCTCTGTTGAAGTTAGGCTAGTCCAAATTGCTTTTCCATCTGAGAAACCGAACAAAATGGAACAGACATCTCTCCTCTAAATTGGAAAATTTAGCAAACATTATTTTGGTTATGAGCCAAAAAATTCCATAAACACCTCTTCCTGTTGCTACCAGAAATACAACCATTCAACTTTTGCTTTTGTTTATATTCAAAATCATGACATTTGGTTGCCACCAATGTTGCCCAATGTTATGGCCATAAATGAGCTATAGTCACGTAGATGAGTTTGTAGCAAATGTGAATGAGTCTCTCAGAATAAGTTGAGTCACTGCAAGACATCACTTCTCTTTTTAAAAAATTAACTGTTCATGTACTTACATTTACAAAATACAGGTAGTCCTTGACTTATGACCACAATTGAGCCCAAAATTTAGGTTGCTAAGTGAGAAATTTGTTAAGTGAGTTTTGCCCCATTTTACGACTTTTCTTGCCACGTTTTTTTAACTGAATCACTGCAGTTGTTAAATTAGTAACATGGTTGTTAAGTGAATCTGGTTTCCCCACTGACTTTGCTGGTCAGACTGATTCAAAAGGTGATCACATGATGGCGAGACACTGCAACCGTCATAAATGTGAATCAGTTGTCAAGCATCCGAATGTAAATAACATGACCGAGGGGATGCTGCAACCGTCATAAGTGTGGAAAATCATCATAAGTCACTTTTTTCAGTGCCATTTTAACAGTCACTAAGTGAGCTGTTGTAAGCCAAGGACTACCTGTATTATTTTTCCCACTTACTGTGTATGTCATCAAGCAAATGCATCATTCCATATAAATAAGACTATCTTACTTTTAATGTGATATGCCAAAATTGACGTCTCACAAAACACCAAACAGATCTTTAAACTCTCAAGGCCATGATGATCTCATAGTGTTACGCTCTTCATGTGACTGAAGATGACAGAAAGGGCAATATTATATCATGCTTCTTGAGAGGAAGACAGTGTGATTGTTGTGGCAATAATTTTTGGGACTTGCACTGCTAAGCCTGAACCAAGATGTGGAATTAAAGAAAATATTAATTATTCATTTAAAACATAATGGTGGGCCAATTATCTTTGTGTTGCTTCCTCCTCAAGACTGAAGTGCACATTATATTAATCTTCACTAATATAGACTCAAAATTCCACTAATTGGTCCAACAGACTTGAAGAGAATGAGACTGCAGAACAGTGCTTAACAGAGAGACGGAAGTTTAAGGGAAAATATTTGGCAACAATTCTAAAGTTATGTCTGTTGATACTGGTCCATCTATTTCATAATGGGGGTCAGCTATTTTTCCTGTTCTTGTTTGTTTGATTTGCTGCAGAGATAACAAAGGGTCTCTTTCTTTTTTGTTTAATCTCCATCACAGACCAAGGAAGGAAACAACAGCAAACAGGGTCAAAAGTGTCAAAAGAGGAAGGAAGGACTTTTTAATGCAAAAATGCTACATTTGCAAACCATACACTTACTCTATATGTTCTGGTGCAGCTTTCACTTTGGAAGCATTCATAAAAGGTGTCCCGGTCCAGAATTACCAGAAGTGCTGCTAGAATAAGAATCTAGAACAGAATAGCATAGAACGTATTGAGTTTGAGAACATTAAACTCACAAAATCCTTCTTTCAGAACCTTATATTCTGATTAGATAATGCATGGTTTTGAGTAGCTACATTGCACCACATTTGACTGAAAATATAGAACCAAGACATATCCGAAATGCTTTATTCCAAAATAAACAGAAGGATAACATAGAGTTGTCTGTGTGCTCCTCATAATCATGGATACTTATAAAGGTAGAACTTATGCATGAACATTCAACTTGTACTGAACATTGCCATCTTTGGATATGGTACTTGCTGGTACTTGTTTCCCTTACTATATGATATAAAATGTTTTAAAATATAGAACATATAATGTTAGCTTTTGAAAGATGCCTACAAATCTAGTAAGACAGAAACACAAAAGAATGGATAATTCCAAAGAGGAAATATTCTAAATTGCATTGGTGGTGTAGATATAATAGAATTGGTACCAGAAGGCATTTTTTCCTGTTTTCTTTAGTGGGAGGGGGGAACCTTTATCTTTGTTCGGTTCATAGTTGCCAAGGAAAGGAATAAACCACCCTTCCTGACATCAAAACTGCCAGCTACTTTGCATTTGTATTACATTTAAAGAAAAAAAAATCCTAAATCTATCAGTATCAGTTTAGAGACAAAGAATCTCTCTACCATTTCACATTCTAGCTGGGATGCTGGGAGTTCTAGTCTGGATACTTGGCAGATCACAGGTTTAAATATGATGATTTGTTCAAAAGAAGGCATTGTTTTTGAAGAAAGTGACATATCTCAAAGGATCTTCTTGCACCTAAGAAAAATTATTTTGTAACTTACTTTAAATATACCAAAGGCCAAATAAATTAATTCCTTACATTGTTCCTTTTGGTAAAGTAAGTTGGGAAGACCACATCTTCATGGACGCTCAAAAGCATATATAGAAGCATCAGAGTGAAGTCAATAACTATGTAGCATTAAACCTTAACTATGTACTGGTTACAAGTTAATAGAATGCCTTGAAATGCTAACGATCGCAAGTGGATCACTTTTTAGTGACTTTAAAGAAATATTCATATTTCTTTTTTCTGTGCACTACTTATTTTCACTTGGAAAATAATTGTAGATCCGATATGAATGACAGGCACTATGTGAAGAAATACTTAGGGTTTTAGGCAACATCTTTATGGTATAATCATTCAAATATGAATTTTATGAAATGGCCAACTGGGGTCTCTTTTCCTTCGTAATGCTCACGTTTTTCCCAACACTCCTTCAATCTTTTCTTTCTTGTTAAGGCTCACAACTGCATTCATACAATTAAACATTGGGAATTTTATTTCTTAGATATCAAGTGCAGACATAGTTGAATATGCCTTGAGGATCCCCCAACTGACTTAAACAGAAAACATACAGCAAATCTAGTATATTAATTTTAAAACAAGCCAAATATTGGTTACCACAATTAAACATGGAGCCAATTTTTGTATTTTTTTAAATCAAAGGTCAGTCATCTTATTGAGTTCAATAGTTTTGGGACATCATCATTGTGAAATACAAACATATACTTTAATTCTACAGCTCAACACTGTTTGACATATATCTTCAAAATAGGAAATTAAGATAGAAGTCTTTTGAAATAAAATAATAAATAAAAATGTGTTAGTGCGATTTCATTCCAACTAAATTTCACTTGTTTTACATATATATATATATATTGGTAAGAATTAGTGTTAATCCATGTCCTCAACCATTATTATATTAATCCTACAAATGTATTTAATGACCTATATGTTTAAACCATCTCTGAGGGGGAAAAATAATCAAATTACATTTTTTAAAAATCCCTCTATCAACATTTAAATACTCAGCTACAGTATAGTGACATGTTGTGTTTGTTATATTGCTTCCAAAATACAGTTATTATTTTGATTCTGTCCCTTCCTGAAATCCCCTTTCCTGGAGGATTCCCCCCTCTCCCAATCTACCATCTGAGGATCAAAGAGTCCTGTGGAGAAAATGAAAGATGTATTTAGCTAATCAGAGAAGCCATACTTACCATAATACCTGAGAAACAGATTCCTTCAAAATGCCACACGTAGTTGGTATGATTATTGCTGGAAGCATATGAAGATTTCCCATCAGGAAAATATAGGAGAATATTTATAACAATACTCCACAGTGCCAGGGGAATCAACAGGCAACTCAAACAGCCACTGCATTTTTGTAAGCCCATGTCAAAAGAGCAGAGAAAGCAGTGAATAAAGTCTTTCTCGAGTGTTCAAAAGCTCTTGTTTTCTTGGTTGAATGGAGACATTTTGCATTTACAGGAATCAGTTGCTGGGATATGTTTCTTGTCTGACAAGTCCAGTTCCTGACAAATGCAAGTATTGCCGTTGTAGAACAATACAGTTAGACAAATAGCACTGGCTGAATTCTTGCCCTATCCTGAGAAGTGGGGGGAGGTGGAAGTAGGGATAGGATGGGCGTTCCTCTGAAGAACTTTACTTGTAAAGGGAAATCCCTATGGTTCTACTCAAGACACCTCAATCAATCTTAGAAAGAAAGCGTTCATCTGAAAGAAAAAAGTCAGAATTGAATGTGTGTGTAATAAGGAAGTAGAGACTGATCCTTTTTATCTACAAAGCAGCATGTAATCTGATTAGTACTTAACTGAGATGTATCCATCCAACCATAGTGTTTGAATCTTACTTGGAAACTACTGGCCCTAGTTGAGGAAGACCCCAGAATTAACATTTACTACTCTCATAAAAAATACATTTGAATCCAATTTAATAGGGTTAAGGATGATAAACTTGATACTATTTCATGCTTTCACATAGCCCAGGGAAAGTTTATTGTTTCTTAGACTGAAGAAACACAGGTATTTCAGTGTGGAGAGAAAAAAAGACATAGAGGAGATTTGTTAGCCACATTCAGATATATAAAGCAAGCTACAGGGGAAGCATAGCAAGAGCTATTTTCCACAGTCTCAATTTATAATGGGTATAAATTGCAGATACCTAGATTTTGTTTAAATATAAGAAGATATTCTTGGTAAGATCTGTGCAACAGTAGAAGAGTCTACCTATGGATTTTGTGGGTTCATCTCTAAAGAGTTTTATAAAAGACTGGAGAGCTATCTTTGATAGATGGTTTAATTAGTGCTTCTGTAAATAGTGGGTAAATAATCCTTATGGTTTCTTCCAACTCTAGTTTTATGATTCAATGATAGTAAAAAAGAAGCTGAAGAGATTTGCTTCCTGGAATAGTTGAAATGCAACCAATCTTTTCTTAGTGCTCGCACTTTCCATTGGAGGATTTCTGGATTGGCTGGTCCCTACAGAGAACTCTGGGATCTGTTTAGATCAGATAGCACCTAGGCTGGACTATTCACCAAAAGATTTTACAATCTAAGTGGCTGCATTGAACCGTGGTGGACCAGAGGTTAGAATGCAGTATTGCAGGTTAATTCAGCTCACTGCCAAGATTTCGATCCTGACCAGCTCAAGCCTTCCATCCTTCTGAGGTTGGTAAAAAGAGGACCCCGTTTGTTGGGACCAATATACTGACTTTGTAAACTGCTTAGAGTGCTATATAGCACTACAAAGTAGTATATAAGTCAAATTTCTATTGCTATTGCATTGTGTATAACTATAGCCATTAAAATTAATTGAATGATTACTGCTGGGAAACAGAAGTAAAAAGGGCTAGAGGGACTCTAAGAAGAAAGTAATTGGGGCAGAACAACATGACTTCTTAAACTAGATGAAGAGATGTAAAAATAAAAATAAAATGAATTCAAGTTTCCAGATAATTAAACATATATATTTGAACCAGGATTAAGTTTTTGGTCATCCCCAAATAATATAAATCTTTCCCATAATGATCACAAGACTGCTTCTTCCAAATTAAATCAACTTCAATTCATTTGCCAAATTAAAATTATTGTTTTCAAATATTCTAGAAGTAATTGGCTTGAATAATATTAATATTCAATGTAAAATAGGGCTCTGTTCATATAGGAATCAGAAATAAATCTGTCACAACTAAAATAATATTTCAGACATGGTGCTAAATACAAATATTTCATAGTCTTGTGTGAACAAGACTATTTTTAAACTACAGATACAGAAATAAGACAGGGTTGACTTGTGAATTAACTTTTATGAAATTAACATGAACTAACAATAAACTGGGGCTTAAAGGGACTTTTTTCTAAGTAATTAGGTATGAATTGTATATAAGAATAAAGAATATGTGCTGCCTTCACACCTGAACAAACCATGGTTTGCTTAACCACAAATAAGCCAAAATTGGCAGGATTCTTGGAGATTTATTACTTATACCTACATGAAAAACTATAGCACTTGAATTCACACAGTAAGCCAAACTGAAGAAGGCCAGCCCATGCACAAAAAATGTGTCTTCTAATTTTTCTCAAATGGAAAGGAGAATAGAAATAATTAGATAAAAATAAAGGTTCCTTAAACTTTAGGTCTGAGCTATAAAAGCTAAAGAACAAAAAGAAAAGTATGAATCAATGTTTGGATATGATGGAAGCAAATATAGGAATAGAAAGGTATGGTGGAGAACACGGATGAGTGTTGGTACAAACTAAATTTACATAGAATTTATTTTATGTTTTGGTCTTAATTCATTTGGCCAAGTATTTCTGCGCTCTACATACTTTTGTTTACACAAAAAGGAACAAGATGATGGGAATGCATGAGACAAGGTAGGTATAAAGAGTCTGAAGATAAGGAGGAGCTGACTTTGCATCAGTCTTGACTCCTGGTAACCAACTCAAGAAGTCCCTTCCATTTTCTTGGCAAGATTTATGAAGTGATTTGCCATTTCTTTCTTTTTAAGGCCAAGAGAACGTGAGAAATCCAAGGTTTCCAGGTTTCTAGTCTGTGAAACTGTGCCATCAGTGTTTAACAATCCAATTAGGGTAGGTTTCTGGAGTTGCACAAAGGAACTTGTAGGTTATCCAGGCATAGTAAATAAAACCTTGGGAGAACAGGGAAAATTGTACCATTGATGATTACCAGACCAGACATAAACATCTGAATTATATTCATTGTATCAGGACAATCTCATAATTATTCATTTAAAGTATGCTGCCACTGATTTTCATATGGATTAATTTTCAAGTGGCTATATGATATAACCTAAATAACACATTGTTGCATTATATTAGATTACTAAATATATTGATAAATTTCTGCATGTAGGTAAGTCTTGTTGTATCAGATTCTTTTTAAAAAAATCTTTTAAGTTTTAAATAAACAATTAAATAGGAACAAGGTTTGTAATATGAGCCAGTGTTGAGCTAATAATAAAAATCATATTTGCCAAATATAATTTTACAGCTGGTTCTCACACATACAACTGTTGCAGTGTGCCTGGAACTGCGTTTCACAGCCAACTTCTGACCAGCACGATCAATGGAGAAGCCATCTGTAAAATTTGATGTGAACTCTCGTGTAATGACTGTAGGGCAATGTGTGAACAAACACTTCCTATATTTGATAAAATGGGAACTATTTAATGGAATTTGCTCTTTTATGCCCACCTCCCCTGCATCATTATTTGGAAGGAATTGCTTTTAAGGCAGCTAAGCAATACTTGATCTTTCACTAAAGACTACAATAAGACCAAGGTGTGGGGGGCAGGGACTCCTCCCAAGTTAAGTAGATGTTGGCCTTCATGATTTCCTCCAAACACAATAATATCCTTCCCCTTCCAATCTTATCAGATTAAGCAGGATTTTTAAGTGATAGCATTTTGGCTTTGATGCAGTTAAGTCAGAGGTAAAGACTCCTGTTTTTACTCTAAAGAAGGGGAAGTCTGCATCTTATCCAGCTGAATATCAAACTGTGAGAACTTCCTCCATCTGCTCTATTCAGTAACATCCTCTTTCAGTATGTACTGATGTCTAGACTTTTGATAACACAAAGTTGCATAAAATAAATTAAATAACTAGTTATAATCAGAACAATTGACCAGCACATTCTACTACAAAAGTATCCTTGGCACTGTTTAGTATTTATTTTGTTCATCATCCCAGAGTTTTGGTAGATAGGCACTATATAAATTGGTTTATTTTTTAAAAAAATATTTATTAAATATATATGCTGCCCATTTTGCTGATAAGGCATCTTTAAAAATAAAATGAAGTAACCTATTTTCCTAATTGTATTGCTTCAATATTTGCAAACACTGCAACAAAGGCAAGCCAAATGTTACAAAAACAAGTTAAGTATGAATGTCATACATCCAAAACTTCTATTCACGTCTATTTATCTTTGCCAATTCCCCCACCCCTTCCTCCCCTTCTGTAGTTTAGCACAGTTTCTAAATATCACCCATCCTTTAGGAGATCAACAGAGTAGAGTGACAGGAAAGCCCTGTTTTATGAACTCTGCTCCTTTCACTGAAGGGAAGTTAAAACCAAATCCAACTTTTTAAATTAGCCTTCCTGTATAACAGCAGAACAATATGAAATGCACATTATATGCAGTAATTTATTTTATTTTTATTTTATTTTATATTGGATTTCTATACCGCCCTTCTCCCTAAGGACTCAGGGCGGTGTACAGCCAGATTAAAAAAACATGCAGAACAAATATTAAAAACAATTAAAAGATATATAAATTTGGCCCAATTAAAACTCATTTACCAATTAAAAACGTTTAAAACATTTAAAAACAGTTAAAAATTTCATCTTAAGCCAGCCCGGCTTGTTTAAATAAATGGGTTTTAAGGGCGCGACGGAAGGCACTGAGGTCTTGGATTCTCCTTATCTCTGGGGGGAGCTGATTCCAGAGGGTAGGTGCCCCCACAGAGTAATAAACACAGCAGAGACTGAGATTTTATTTTACACATAAACTCTTACTGTAGCATTTACAATGCTAAGAATTTAGCATTTCTTTCACTTTCAATAATACTTTTTTTTCTTAAATTACTTTCAATAATAAATTTTTCTTATCAAAAATGAGATAAAGAAAAATATTTTAAAAATATTTCAGCAGATATAAGGCATTCCTGAATACAAAGTGTGAATTTTAAGACTCCTTTCTGTCTTTTAACTCTTTAAATGTTTATGTATTTCTTACATAACACATCCTACTAGAATATATATTAAAGGAAATTCAGAAATATTATCCTGACAAAGCAAATCCTTTTTGTGGATATCTCTTATTTGCTGATTAGATAATTTATATTTCCTTATAAAGGAATATATAAAGTGTAGCATAAAAATATAAAAATACCAATATTTTCTCAGAATGCAGTAATAGTAGTTGATCAAACATATATACTAGGGAAGACTAGGAAAGAAATAACCTATATATAGAGAGAGAGATAGATATATATTATTCAAATCTATATATATAAAAGCGAAAACCACTCACGCCTTAATCACGAAATCTCCAGAACCGTAAAGCCTACAAACTTGAAATTTGCCACGTATGTTCCTCTTGGCTTTTAGGTGCTCACTAAGAAAGGATTTTTCGAAATTACCATCAGAGCATTAGTATTTCCTATATCCGTGATGGCGAACCTATGGCACGCGTGCCACAGGTGGCACGTGGAGCCATATCGATGGGCACATGAGCTCAGCTCTGGGCACACATGCACGCACCAGCCAGCTGATTTTCGGGCCTTCCAGGCCCACTGGAAGTCGGCAAGCAGGCCATTTCCGGCCTCCCGAGAGCCTCCAGGGAGATGGAGAAGGTCATTTTCACCCTCCCCAGGCTCCTAGAAAGGCTCTGGAGTCTGGGGAGGGCGAAAAACGGGCCTACCAGGCCCACCATGCCATCGCGTGCCAAAAGCGGGTGGAGTGCAGGGGGGGTCACGCATACATGCACAGGGTGCATTGAATTATGTGTGTGGGCACACACGCGTGCGACCTCGCTGCACTCCCCCCGCTTTTGGCACGTGATGGCAAAAAGGTTAGCCATCACTGTCCTATATTATTATTAACATACTCTGATGCTAAGGAGTTCTACTCCCCCTTCCCACCTGAAAAGAAATCTGTTCCAAATGCAAAACACAAACAGAGTTTCACTTTCAGTTTTACTTTCACAGCAGGAAGCAGCTTTAATATAGAACACTTGAGCTAAGCCACAGCCAGGCTCCTTTCTGTCTCCTTCTTGCTCACACAGCAAATACTGTTTCACTTTCCAAACAGCCCTCTGATGCTAAGGAGTTCTACTCCCCCTTCCCACCTGAAAAGAAATATGTGCCATGCTCTGATGCTAAGGAGTTCTACTCCCCCTCCCCAGTCTCCACCTCAAAAGAAATCTATTCCAAATGCAAAACACAAGCATAGGAGAGGAGTTTCACTTTCAGTTTTACTTTCATAGCAGCAAGCAGCTTTACTACAGAACAGTTGAGCTAAGCCATGCCCAGCCTCCTTCCCATCTCCTTGCTCCACAGCAAATACTGTTTGAGTTTCCAAACACCCCTCAAGTCTTCTCACACACTGACAGGATGCTAGCCAGATGAATACCGATGGATGCTGCGGGCTGGGACATTCTACTACTCCTTCCCTCTGTTCCAACAGTTGCATTAGATTAACACACTCTGATGTACGGAATTACACATTCTACATTAAGTTTCAGGCTGTAAGTGTCAATTTATCAAACCCGAGCACATAGTTTCGTAGCGAGGCACAAGTGTCCAGCTAGTGTTTATATATTTGTTTTGAAGATCAAATACAGTGTCCACAAAAACTTTATATTAGTGTGACTAAAAAACTCTGATAAACATTCTTTATAGTTACTCAACATACTTTATAGTTATTCAGGTTATACAAACACTAAATCATAATATGTTTTTAAAATAATATATAATATGCAAACACATCTCAAAAAATAAAAATAAATGATTTTGCAACAAAGTATAATTGGATAACGATTTACTGATTTTCAAGTCTTGATTTTAAACCAGGTCTTTTCCTTTTAAACTTGAAATTATGACTTCTGGTTTTGTTTGTATGTTGCCTTTACTTCTCTTGATAATTGGAAGAAAAGCACGGAGGAAACAAACCAAGAAGTGTTTGAAAAAAAAATCAGAATTACTTTTATCTTCCTAGTTTGTTTAATAAACCATGATTAAGCATTATGAGAAGAAAGCAACCAATATGCTCTAATCTGACTAGCAGATGAGTAACCCATTATCCCAGGGATGTCAAACTGGATTTCTTCAAAGGCTGGATTAGCATTGTAGCTGTCCTCTATGGGCTGGCTGGGGGTGGGTGGGAGACAGGACAGGACAAACAGCAGATGCTCCTGCAGCATTCTGCCAGCCAAAACGGGGTGCGGAGGTCCTGCACGCGCCCCGCACACTCCATTTTCAGCCTGGATGGCCTCCTGCAGCACTCTGATGGCCAAAACAGGGTGTGAGGGGGGTCGCCCCATTTTCACTAGCAGAGACACCATGGGCCGGTCCTTTGCTATTTCCAGGCCAGCCCAGAAGGCCAGATCCAAGCACCCTGGATCCAGGCCAGGGGCCATGAGTTTGACACCCCTGCATTATCCCATATCCCAGGCAAATAAATGAAATAACTGAATCTGGGGTTTCTTTGTGCAAAACATGGACTATTATCATCAAATTATGCCCCCTGTGTTTTCTAGTATATCATCATGCTATGTCACTTTGAAATCTGTTTCTATTCACTCAATTTAGCCATCTTTTCTTTTCATACTAGTATCCCAATGCACAACCATCAGCTCGAGGATCAGATCCAGCCCAAAGTACAGTGTAGGAAGAAGAGAGGGTTTTTTGTCTCCACCATTCTCCTTTGGTGATAATTTGACCACGTCCAAACATGCTCCTGGCATAACCAAATACAGGTTCCTTGACATTATGTCCCATGGCTCTCAAATCATCTGCTATGTTTTGAGGAATGCCGTCTTCCAAGAACACCTGCCACGCATCTAATGATTAAAAGAACAGCATTCAAGATTTTATTTGCAGATTTGAAGTATTGAACAAATGTCCAACTATTTTACAAATGCCACCTGACCCCAAAGTTAAAATATTATTTTCAGCACTTAAGCATGATCCCACAAAAGGAAAATAAAATATTCTCACTCATCGACCCAGGAATAGGGAAGGGGGTCTGAATTGGAAACACTTTTAGAGCAACTCCTTTAAAATGATTGAATGACAGCTGTAACTCTGCAACTAAGAAGCAATCATCCTGCATACCCTGCATCCTATTTACAACTGAGAGGAAAACAAGGTATCACTTCTGGAGGCATGAGATAAAAGTTTACCTGTCCAGTCATGTCTAACTCTAGGGAGCAGTGCTCATCTTCGTTTTTTAGCAGAAGTAGCCAGGGTTGTCTGAAGGCATTTTCCATGATCATGTGGCCAGCATGGCTAAATGCCAAAAGAGCACCTTCCCACAAACGTGGTACCTTCCCACAAATGTGGTACCTATTAATCTACTTGCATTTGCATGCATTTCAACTCCTAGGTGGGCAAGAACGCTCATTTTATGTAGCGTCTTTATTTAGTATTAATTGGCAATTTTGTACACAATCTGTGACTACAATGTGTACACAACTACACATACCAGACTTTAAACATATTGGATGTAGCCTCTATAATGCTGAACTGTTATGTTTAATGTGGCATCAGGAAAACATGATGAAATACACCAAAATAATATTCACTGCATTTAATTCATTAAACTGGAATATATATTCAATTCTGAGACCTGTTTCGATATAATGATTAAGGCACCAGACTAAAAAAACCAGGATACCATGAATTCTAATCCCATTTTAGCCACAAAGACAGCTGGGCCACTTTCTCACTTTCAGCCCTATGAAGAAGGCAATGGCAAACCACTTCTGAAAATCTTGCGCCCCAAACAGTTGCCAGGAGTCAAAACTGACTTAAAGGAATACAGACACACACACACAGAGAGAGAGAGAAAGAGAGAGAGAGAGAGAGAGAGAGAGGGAGAGGGAGAGAGAGGGAGGGGGCACTGGAAACATGGAGACTGCTTGGAATGATGGTTTAATGGTGGACAGGATCACATGGTTTGAGATCCTGAACAGAAAAAAGGTCAAGATGCTGAGTGTGTCTTGGTTTTATGCCCTCTCTGAGCTTTGAACTTTCTGGGGCACAGGAAGAGTATCCTGATTGGTTGTCAGACTCCCAGAGGGTGGGGTTTTTAGCTAGCCTTGCTGGCTGATGTAATCTTCCCAGATGCCATGTGGTGAGTTTCTGTTGCTAGATGGGTCCTACTGTGTTGCAGATGATAGCCCATGAGGAAGGTAGGGGAAGGCAGGAAGTTGCAGGGGAACTTCCTACTAATAATGCAATTCATCAACAGAGATCTTTGTCCAGGTTGGTTCTGAATAAGCTGTTGGGTAAAAAGATATGCTTTCAAGTACCCTTCACAAACCTATCATCAACAAAGGATCAAGAAAGTCAACATCCCCAAGGCCACCAGGTTAAGAAAGGCTGTTTTATCAGACAGTCCTGTGCAATTAGCTGTTAATGCTTGCACAAAGGACTCTGGAAACCTGTTTCTAAGTAAACCTTGTTTCATTTTGCCTTCCACTAAGATAAATACAAGATGTACATTTTGTGACATCTTAAAATTATGTTCCCATATGTAGAAAAATAAAT